GTAAAATTATAAAATAAAGATTATTACGAAATTAAAAAAACAAAAACTTTTTATCATAAACAATCAAATTTCATCAAGTTAAATAACGTATTCCCTTACGTTTCACATCTGATGGGGGTCCTAAGAGCCACACCTGGTTTTCAAGTTAAATTCATGAGGTAATAGATAAATGATAATGATATTGATAGTAATACTTACTTTTCAACTATTAAATAATGTTCTTGTACTATCTTAAAAAAAAGATCCTTAAATTAGACATACTAAGCATAAAGACCTTTACATAAGAAATAAGTAACTGTGATATATAGCATTATACCAAAAGTATCCTTTTGTGCGAGATCAAAAATGTAGGTTTAGATATTAATTTTTTCGTACTTCCTACAAAATGTGCTCGAGCCATGGTGATAAGCCAGCATGCAATATAAGGTATGTGGATGTGAGTAAATCTCTAAAATACACTAACGAAATAGTAAGAGAACAGTAAATAAAATAGTCAGTATAGGTCTTCTACATATCTACCATATTCTTTTTTGTAATACATTAATATACAAAATGTAATCCAACGACGAAAAATTAAGCAGTTACTTAGTTAAGCTGTCAGCGTGTAACCAATTTTTTTTACATCAATCTGAACTAGCTCTGTTTTTTGAGGCACACACTAATACGATGTTAATGAGTTACCTAGACTAACACTAACATAATAACTTAACCTACTTGAACATGGAAAACCATGGTTAAGAAAGATGGATGAGATGAAGCATTGTGAAGCATTGCTTGTCTCTCTCTAGCATCAAAAAGTTTGATGGGAGGAAGGGGAAAAAGCAACGTTCTACCTAATTAGTTAAAATGTTAGTTTAATTATAAAACTTATCAACTTAAGCCTGTGATTTGATTACAGCTAATTAGCGCTTCCACTGAATTTTATAGTGTTGCCACAGACGGCTAATCATTTATTTACTTTGTTTGAAAAATTGTCGTTGCTTCATAACATGTGAAGGAATCTTTACCGGAAAATAATTTTGGGATTCTTCTTTCTACTAGCCAGAGAGCTTTCACCTGGAGATAAACCCAAGATTACTCTCTTGACTGGGGGCACGCTGAAGAAGATAAATCTATCCATGTTAGCCCATTAACTCAAAAAACTTTTAATATACACCAAGCAGGTGAACCCCTCGATACTTTTTCGAAAATTACTACTTTTGGGTCACCCATCCCCTCCATGAGGAGCATTGCATAGTAAAATAGCACATGTGAAAACTCACAGAGGTGCTTGCTCAATAAACGTCACACTGGCTGGAAATCTAACCGTGGTCTCCAACTTGCCAACCCATAAGCTAGCTGACTAAGCCACCACAGTTTAAAAAAAAAGATGGAAAGAATGAGTTACTGTCACATTTTTTTCTTTAGTTTTATTTACTACCAGTTAAATCCTAGGTGATCAATCACTTACAAGATCAATCGTATTAGTGACCAAAACACACAGGAGTTAGATATCAGCACTCTAAGTCAGTGTATACATATTTTAAGAAAAAAATAGACCTTGCTGGTTAAGAATTTCTGTGAAAAGCTCTGTGGAAGACACTTTACAGAAGATATAATGTGATAACAGAAATACGCTTATTTAACTGCAGGAGTATCTGGTAGGACCTTAAGTGCGCCAACAGCGGTGCTATTGTCAAGTTGTCTGTAACTGCTCTTAAATCTTGCTCCCTATGTATCGAGCGCAAGCTTTAGCTTGAAAAACATACAATTGTGGCTGAATGTTTCCAATATAACAAAAAGTAGTTTATCTTTTAATTACTTCTGTTAACGTAACAATTAGTTAACCTTGGAAGTAAGAAACATTTAACTTACACTTAAAAAACAATGTAGGCTTCCATTTCTCTTATATCCTAAGAAAAAAATCTTGTTACCTCAGACATTCAATGAGGGAACTTTATTTAAACACTTGTGTGTTGAATACTTAACACATGGCTATATGTGGTTCGTAGTGAATATCATATAAAATAAAAATATAAACATAACTCAATTTTTATTACTGCATACGTGATATGAAGTTTGTAAAAGTCTTAACAATTATGTTACCTTAGCAGGCAACAGATTAACCCATTTAAATGTTAGTAATATGATTTGGTTATAGAAACAAATATATAAAGTGCTAGCAACGCTCAATGAGAATTTATCTACTCACTAGAAAAAATGTTTAAAATATTTTTATGAAACTATCATTTTTTTGGCAAAAAAAAAATACATTTAAAATCATTTCAGACTATACAATGGATTATCTTGCGTCACTCTTCTTACTACCAATCAAATAATGTATAAGATAGTCATTTTTTAAAGTTTAAGTTTCATACCTATTTATAAAATACAATGCCTAGCGTCCTTCAGAAAATTCAATTTACTATGGGAACAATCAAACACACTACGAGCTCACAATTTGTTAACAAAATTATTTTATTCATGGCACTAGAAAAAATTTTAGAAATTATCAAGGAATCGTATAAAAAAAGCATTTGTCAAGCACATTACGTATAGTTTTATGAGTGGTGATGCGATCTTGCAACCTAGACCTTCCAGCTTATTAACGTCAAACGAATGCTATACCAAAAGTAAAAGATATGATCGAAGAGAGCAGTGTTTTAAATTATATTTTGTAACATAACATCAGTAAATGGATTTGAAAGCTAAATAATAATTAATAATTCATCATAATTATTTATCGTAATACAAATGACGTTTAAAGTAAAACAAAGTTTTTACGTAGGCTTGTACAGTAACCAATATTACCAACAGCCAATACATAAAGTGATTCTTTGTCTACGTCAACTGATGATAAAAAGTAATTTTTCAATTTATCAAAAATAATATTTGCTCTTAAGTTTGCGCAAAAAATTACTTTTGTTTGATAACATTTATATAAACTACCACCAATTGCTAGAAAAAAAAGTCACCCATTACTACTATTTGTGATAGTCTATGGCACATGGAAACATAAGAATATTAAAATTTATCTTCTGCAAAATTGGAAACAGATTGTATCAGTTATTTTGGAAATTTTGGCGAATAGCCTATTGAACTTATATTCTTAGTACTGCGGTAAGAGTAAAAGTTTTGTAAGGTTCATCTCAACGCTCAAAAAAATTATCAAAATTTCTTAAGGTGTAATATTATAATCGATTCAACCTATGAGGATGCAAATGAGTTGCATATCATTACACAGTATGTAAGCTTTTACTTATGAAAGTAACGTCATAAAATTGATTGCGAGTGTGGCTGACTTGAGATTACGTATCATTGAAAAAGATTACTACTCACAGCAGTTGAAGGGCAAATCATACTTGATAAACTATTTTGCCATAAGATTTTTGTAAGTAGCATAAAAAATTTTAAAACTTGTAATAAACCTTCTGTCAAAATAATTAATGAATTGGGTTACTAGATTTTAAAATTTTTGAAAATCTACGAACGGTTGCTTTCACTCAATATCATAGTAGGAAGACATGTATTACATTTAACTTAACATGTGTTGGTGATACGCAAATGACTGCAGCAAATACTGAATGGGTATTTGGAATTTTGATAACAAATGGCATATTTAAATAAAAAACATTAAATCAGTAAATTAATACATTCTAGAAATATTTTGATGGAATCATGTTTATTTCAAAGTTTATTAAAAAAATTTATACGTGAAAAGACAGGGTGAGAAAACGGGGGTCAAAAGACTTATTTAAAAAAATCAAAATTTCAATGGACTCTTGTCTTATAAATTTTAATATGTGTTAAATGGCTCTATGGACAGCAAACGATGGTGAAATAATTGAAAACGTAGATGATAATGCTATTAAAATTTCTTTTTATTGAACTACCTTTCAGCCCATACAAAACTAGTTCAAGGCCCTTATCCAGTTCAATAATTCATCGACAAGTAACGTTAGCATCACCCAAGGAATTAGTAGTGGCTATTATGTACTAATTAAAAGTATTACAGTATAACCATCTGCGTCTGCAATTATTTCATTCAATACTTTAACAGATTACGAATATCATTAGCATTTGTCAAGCATCTTATCTTCTGGTAACATAGATTACAAGTGACAAGTTAAATTTAATCTTAATGAGAATCTTAAGAAAAGGTAATGTGTTATCAGCTGTTGAATATAATGGTAGAGTCTTAAAATTTATTCTTAACACGAAAACAGTGTCTGATAAGAAAGATATTATTACGACAACTTTATTAATCAATAATTTTAAAGCTACACTTACTGAAACTTTTAACCTCCTTAAAAATATTAAAGCCATTGATAAAACTGATATAAATTATCGTTCTTTGACAGCACTTCTATTTGCCAAATAACTGTAAAGTTAAATATTCTTTCAAAAAAGTTTCTGCGCAATATCGTACAACTTGTCCTATAAGATAACTTATATATTATCCTTCACGAAATCTTATAAGATATCGTACAATATCGATTGCACCATTGGCTACATGATACCCTATACCTTAAAATGACGTACAAAAAATAAAGAAATATACATTTGATTAAAATGTACCATATAATGATGTAAATTTCTCCCTGAGTAAGATCCTCTCTTACTAAGTAAATGAGACTCTTGACTAGGGGTTTTCCAGACCAAGCTGGAAACTTCTTACTGGTGGTTAATGTCACGCTTGTTTGTTTTACCATTTATATTAGCAATTATAACACGCGTCTGACAGAAAAATTCTTAAAATTGAGAAGTTACACGTTATATTTCCATAATTTTTAGATGACGAAAATCTTGCTCCACACCGTATACCATATCATGTCAGTGATCGTGCAAGAACCTTACACAATATGTTATGAGATTTTATGTAGCTTATCTTGTAAAATATTTTGTAAGATGTTTCGCACAATATCGTAAAGAAGTTTTGTTACGGGTCTACTTTATGAACGTAAATTTTTCTAGACCATGTGTTATTGCATCTTCAATTATTGCAGTCAATTTTTGTAAGGATGAACAGAGTTACTTATGACTAATTATCCTCAACAGTTTTTAAAGACATGTATATTTTACAGGTAGAGATGACAGGATTGACTGGCACAATAAAATTTGATAATCAAGGTTTTCGTACAGATTTTGTATTAGATATTATTGAAATGAACACAAAAGATGGATTACAAAAAATTGGTTCATGGAATAGTACGAAAGGAATCAATTTTACGAGGAGCTATGGAGAGGTCTACACTCAAATAGTTGATAGCCTACATAATAAAACATTTGTTGTAACTACCATTTTAGTAAGTGCAACGATTTTTATTATCATATTCTAACTCGGTAAGCTTTAAGTATTACCAAAATTTGTCCAAATATAAATGTAAATAAATGGTGTATTCACCTCTGGACTGCATACGTCAACTTAAGTGATTTTAAAAGAAAGTTGAAGAAAATTATCAATACAATTAAGTAAACTGACGTAAAAAGTAAACAAGGTAAACTTTATAATGCTGTTAACTTAAAAGTACAGAAAAGAACGTTCTTAGTAAGTGATGGTAAATTTCTTGTTCGTTTTTACTCATGAATTTAGTAAGAAAATTATTAACTATCAGTTTAAAAAAAATACTTTTTGTATGTTAAAATATAAAATACATAATTTTTATTTTTAATTAATTTTGCCACGGATGGTTCTACTATTTATTAACATACTTATATGTTAGTTTATTTACTGTACTAAATAATAAATAATTATTAAATTTGCACGTTGGACTTACAGTTTTTTTTCAATGGTCATACGATAAACTTTCAACCGATCAATAAGTTTTTTCTAGTGCTCAATAATAACGTTTTTTAAATGAAGTTTATAGAGTAAAGATATTCATAATCTGTAAGATAATAACTTTTTGATTCTTTTTCTTAACGTATTTTAATTACATTATCTCTAACGTCACTTTTATTTATAGCTAAGACGACAAGCATACTATTGTTACATCGTGAGTAGATAATTAATGTAAAATTACGTACTAAAAAAACTAAAATTAAACACATTTTTTGGAAACACAAATTTTAACAAAAAAAGTTTCCCAATTCGATTCCACTATATTCTTGTTATTGAGATAGAAGTGTCAGCTCAGAAACTTTAAAGTAGCCTCTCAAACTGTATGTCCATCATCAAGTGATAATGTAAACGTATATGAAAACTGTTTTCGTAATAGTAGTTAAAAAAAGACAAAAATACCTTTATGTCTTGGCGTAAATAATTCTGTATTCTCGGCAATATTAAGACGGTGGTACTCTGCACACATTTTTCCCTTTAATTGTCCATGTTAAGGACACAGTTTGCAAAGCGTAACGAGGTTGTTATACTGTGAGTCAGGATTTCACATGACATTTTGAAAATTATATAAGAATAATTTTCAAAACTTAAATTTATTATTAATAAGATTATAACACTTTTTCTTTTAAGCTTGTCGTTCTGTAGGCATGCGTCTACGTAAAACGACATTTTCTACGTCTTTGTGAATAGAATATTTTGTTAATTGACTATTACAAAATCTTATTATTTCGATTAAAAAATTTGTTAAATAAAGATGCATAGAATACGTATTAAAATGGATTTTTTGTTTAACTGAACACTGACTAAGCTCTGGTGTCGAGAAAATAGTGTTAAAGGAAAATTTGAACTTGATTTTTGGATTCATATTTGGTTTAACTTTGAATAAATTTAAAAATACTTTTTAACAGTACGTAGTTAACTCTAAGAATATCACGTCAAAATGTTTCTCTTAAAAGAAATTATTAACTGCAGAATAAAGACATCATTTTATAGTTTCTCCTAGCGTTGGATGTTGTTTTTCAATCACCTTTTCTACATTTAATACACTGATTTTATTCATCAGAGTCATACTTTATAATAAATCAGTTAAGTCACTCACTATGAACTCTTTGTACTTGTTAACTAACGTTGTTGCACACTCGATGTGGCGTTCCCTTTTATCTACAAATTTGACAGCTTAAGTGAGTCTTAAAAAGGTACAGTGTTGCATAGCAACGGTCGAACTATCCATTTTTTTTTTTTTCACTTTCATTTTTTCAGTCACTAATTTTATTTTTATTAAAAATCACCGATTTCATTACATAAGATAATGTGCATATTAACTTAATATTACCCGCTTGTATCCGTTCCTTCTGACTATTGTTTTTATTAGTAAAGTAATTATTTATTAAAGCAAAATTGTCTTTAATTTTGCTCCATACATGTACATTTAGAAATATACCTCCTGTAACCTGACATATAAAAAAGCTGCAAGAAAGGCTTAAAATACTGACAATTTACATAATAGTGAAGCTCTACGACGATTTTTTTTAAGCCGTCTTGTTAGGTGGATACGAATACAGTAATACCTTTGCAGTCAATATAACACCGCTTCCATTGTTTCTTCGATTTCTCGAGAGATTAACACAATCTGCTAAATGTTTACCACTATCACGCGATGAAAATACATCTTTCTAAATTGAGCACAACCCATTTTAACAGATTCGTACGACACAGTTAATCTTGACCAAAATTCTTTTTACTGACAAAATTTTGCGGGCACTGTGAAAGTGATCTATGTCCCTCGTTATCTAAGTTGTAGGAAAGACTAACGGGTCTATACACAAGTGAAACCCTCAAGTTTAAAAAACATGTGTAGCTTTTGTACTCCCCCCTCTTAAAATTTAAATATCCAAAGTGATGTCCCACTCAAGTTTTTGGCAATATGTAATTCATAAGGTACAACAGTATGCCTTTCATTTTATTATATAAAATGCTGCAAAAAGACTTGTCAAACATCCTTAAACCTGAAAGACATCTTATGTTTAGTCACCTAAAAAATATCTGCAGATGGTTGTGCATAACAGTAAGTGATAACAGCGAGAGGGCAATATTAAGAAGAGTAAGTAACCACGGTGAAAGTAAGTGACTTTCTCTTAGGTGCGATATTTTACTACCAAACTGTTACTGTAAAATTTTTCAGACTATGACTAGAGTGGACCTACCTAACTGTGTATACCTGTTACATTTAATATGCATTGGCCAAAATTACAGTTAAAACGTGGAAAGTATAGTAGTAGGTTAGGAAAAGAAAAAAAGAATAGAAGAAATTTGGTTCTCATCCGACACTCTTAGCTAAATTATATTTTCTTGATAAAACGATGTAGTAGCTATAAGTGCGAAATCTCTTTTAAAGTCTTTTTCATTCTTAATTTACGTGAAAGTTTTATACAGTTTTTTTTTTAACTTTCTTAAGCTTGTATGAATTTCCTAACAGTGTATTTCTACTGTTGTGTTGCATTAGTTTTTTCTAGCTACACTGTATTTTTCTTAGTTTGTTTTTTTTTGCGTATTACTTAAACTTGTTTTAGTCCTATAACGGTGTTTTTTTACTGTTGCATTGTATTAATTTGAAGTAGCTATACCGTTTTTATTTGTTTTTCACACGTTAATAAAAAAAAATGAAAATGGAAGTATTCATGATCACTACTTTGTTGGAGAACGTACGTTATTGTGCACGATGCGCAACCATAGTGTCAGAAGATGAATGTAAAGTATACTCTGGAAAGTGATTCAAGGACGTGCTATCTGCATACTTTATTTACTAATTAGTAGGAGTATTGCAAAAGCTCTTTATTATTTACTTGGCTAGGGTGCACACAGTCACGTTGTACCATCTATATCTAATTTGTAGTACTATAGCCATCCAAGTGGTGGTGAAGTGTCTACCATCTAACGCTAGGAACAACGGAATGTTAAAAAAAATGTACGAGGTGTACGATAAAATTAAAAAATACTCAGTAACAGTTTTACAAAATATTTTATACATACGAAATTTTTGCACAATGGAAAAAAAATAAAACAGAATACATAGTAAGTTAACAAAAAATGTCTCGAAGATTCTAAGAATGTTCCAAACGTTAAAACTACACTCAGAAAAAAATAGCAGCACACTTTGGACGATGGTATGCCTGGGCAGTCAGGGGTGAAACTTTTTTACAATAAAAAAAAAATTTTTCCAAGTTAATTGAAATGTTTACGAAAATAATTTTTTATCATTCCTTTTCACTTTTAAATTATATTTATAGTAAAATATTGCGTAGAAAACTAGCCTGAGTGACCGCTAAAGAAGGTATCCAACACCCTCTTTGTCGAAAAGTACTATAACAAGTGATACCAATAGAGGTAGCCAATACATTTTCTATTCATATTTCTTAAAATCATTATATTGCATTCTTATTACGACTATTTATGACTCTACAGGTAGAGTCGACAGAAAGAAGAATGCTCCTATCGATTTACCTCAGGGGCAACCCCCGTGTCATGGCAAGCATCATGATGAAAGAGGCCTTAGAAGCGTCGCCATGCAGACTGGAGATGAACCAGGTACATCCAGGCGTACAAAATATATAATTGGAGAAAACAATAAAGCCAAATGCATGAAGTCTTTCAAAATACCTGGTCACGCTATAAAATTTAAAGTTACCGATTTCACAGATTCAGCAAATACTTTGAAATAGCTTAAGAATGCGTTTTAGAAGCTTACTACATTTATTTAAAAATTTACGCTACGAATAATTATCATTAAGAGTTATACTTACAATTAATAGCGTTAATAAAATGACTGGCAAGTACCTATTTTAAATTTATCAATCAAATAAATTTTGTAAGCTCGATATAGAAGGTATACGATTCCAATGCTTGACGGTAAGCTAGACATTTCCTATGACCAATAGGACAAGCAAATGTTGACACATCTAAATCATTGTATCAAATGGTGCATGTGTATAAACAGCGGTACGTTTTAAACAAGCAATCTGTCTCCTCCATACGTGCCCTTCACTCAACATCCGATATACTTAAAATTTATAATACTTAGCCACTTTATTTCTTTTTCAAGAAATTTTTTTTAGGAAATAAATAAGAATAAGAAAAATGTCCTCCCCTGGTACGAATCAAACACACAACCTCCTTTTTACTATACAGTTAATCTATCATTCAAGCTACCGAAGAGTCGTACATTCATTTGCACCATGAGTTTAAATAAGTTTTTTATTCTCAATTCTGAAAGCTGTCTTTCACCTAAGCTCGATGTAGTAGGTATATGATTCTAATCCTTGTAGGCAAACTAGAAATTTAATACGACCAACAGGTGAACAAGTCAATGTTTCTACATCTTTATCATTGTATCAACAGTTGCAAATGTATAGATGGCGGCACTTTGATACAAGCAATTTATATCCTCTATACATGCCCTTTTCTCAATATCCAATTTACTGAAGATTCATAGTACTAAACCACATAATTTTTTCTTCAAAATATTTTTTACAACAAATTTATAGAAATAAGAAAAATATCTTTCCGGGGTGTAGATTGAACACACAATCTCCTGTTTACTAGACAGTTGCTCTACCATTTGAGTTACAAAGAAGCCGTACATTCAATCGCATCGTAAGTATCGAAAAATTTCTCATTCTTAATTTTAAAAGCTGTCTTTTTACCTTAGCTCGATATAGTAGGTATATGATTTCATTGCTTGTCGGTAAACTAAAAATTTATTACGACCAATAGGTATACAAGCGAATGTTGATATATCTTCATTATTGTATCAAGAGGTGCATATGTATGCGTGGTTACACTTTTAACGCAAGCACTCTATATCCACTATACATGCACTTTTTTTAATATCCAATGTACTCAATATTCATAATAAAAAATCACATAATTTTTTTAGAACGAAGTTCTTTATGTAACCTGCTTGGGGGGCTGGAAATTTGAAAACGACAGATTCTCATAAAACGAAAGCCGCTTACTAGAACTCTTTCTCCTGAAAAAAAAAAAAAAAAAAAATCAATGTACCAAAACACAATATCAAGAGTAATGCAACACTGTGAAGATTCTCAAAAACAAAACATTAAAACATTGAGAACAAATTAAAGCACAACAGTCTAAGTATCATCAACTCCACTTACAAGTTACCTGATTAGTTCAAAAGCGTTTCGTCCACGGTAGTTATAAAGTACTCTTATTCCTACTCTAAGTCTAAGCCTAAAAAATAAACTTAAAAAAAGGTTAGAATAATAACAAGTTAGATTTTTTAAAGCATGCCCATAACTTTGATATAATCGTTCTTCTAGAAACCTGGCTGAAAGAGGAGGACAGATTCTAAATCAGGATATTTAACGAAGTCAAATTTGACAGAATAGCTGAAGAACATGGTGGTATAGCCTTTTATGTCAGTGAAGAACTTATTTATACTACACTAACTCTGAATTGGCTTTCTAATCGCCTTGAGCTTGACTCTATTGCTGTGGATACTGGCCCAGGTCCCTTCTCAATCATTGCATGCTATCGACGCCCCAAAAATTGATACAATATCACTATAAACGCATGGTCAAAACTATCTCATATTATAAAGAACTTAGACTCCTTCACTCTTGTTGGAGACTTCAACTCACACCATCCTCTGTGGGGCAGCTCCAACAGATGTATTAATGAAAATTTGATCTTCGATAACATTTATAATGACTACCTCTTTCTTTGAAGCTATGGTAGTTTGACCTATTGTACCTGAAACAAACATGATATTATTTACTTAAGTAAAGATCTTTCCTTCGTATGTAAGAATCTTGTATCCACCTCGGAATGGTCTGTTCTGGATGATCCCTGGGGCAACCACCACTACCGTATTAAAATTTCAACTAATGTTAAACCAGACTATGTTCCTAAAACTGATTACAGATATAATCTAAAGAAACAAGACTGAGATAAGCTTTATCTTGAATTGGAAGAAATTAATCACATTTTCTTCTCTCCTAATTACATTAATAGTAACGTTCTGCAGAGATATAAAACCCTTACTGACTGCCTTCATAGTAGTATTAAAGAATCTCTCAACTACTGTTATGAAGAACAAGATTACTTCTAAAAAACTTCCCCACACAAGCTCAAAAGAGGAGCCAAACAACCCATTTGGTGGAATGAAAGATGCAGCCGAGCCATCAGAATCAGCAAACCCAGTTTTTAATTACTACAAAACAGATGTGACTAACACTCTTTCATAAATCGTAAAAAGATTATTGCAGAAACGAAAGATCGCTGAGAGAGCAGAAAGAAGACTCCTTCATAAAATTTTGTACTTCAATTAACAGCAAAACTAAAATCACAGATGTCTGCCACAAAGTCAAACGCTCTAAAAATGGCTTTAACCGCCCTTACAAAACCACAGGCAACAAAGCTTTCCTGAAAGAAACGGAAAACTGTATCAACACATTTTGCACTCCTAAGTCTGTCACAAAACCTGTGGACTTTTCTACTCTCAAAGGTAACCCAGAAAACCCAGATCACATACTTTCCAAACCTCTTTCCCACGAAGAACTCAATGTTGCTGTTAACTCTGTAAAATTAAATTTTTCCCCAGGTTATGACAAAATTACTGACAGAATTATTTATTACCTTCCAGAATCACACAAACGTGTACTCTAGGACATTTTTAATAATTTATACAATCAGAACCAATTTTCTGATGACTGGAAAAACTCCCTTATCTTTTTCATTCCTAAGCCAAATAACAAAGCCAGGCCCATTGCCATGGCTTCTTGTTTCTTTAAAATCATTGAGAAGATAATCAGTGACAGGTTCACCTGGTATCTTAAATCAGAAAACATCTTATGGGAATCTTAAAATGGATTTCGCAAAGGTAGGTCTTGTATCCGTAACTTAACCAAACTCATTATAGATATCCACAATAGTTTCTATCAAAACAAAAACCTCGTTGCACTATTTATTGATTTCAAAGGTGCCTTTGATAACATTTTACCAGATACTGTCATCCAAGATCTTATTAATTAACATCTTCCGAGAAACCTTTTTCTCTTTGTCAAAAATTTAATACATGACTGTTTTCTTATTTCTCTCAACTCAGCGAGAAAAGGAAAATTTTTCGCAAATGGAGGACTTTCGCAAGGATCGACCATCAGCCCAATTTTATACGCCTTATACACTTATAAAATAAACTTCATCCTAAGCAAATTGATTAACTTATTAAGCTTCGCAGACGATGAAGTCATTTACACATCTTTGGATAATATTATGGACTCCACTAGGCTAGTTGACTCAGAAGTAAATAAAATCGTTTTTTTCCTGTTGAAGAAGGGCCTAAAAATTACTCCAAAGGAATGTACATGAATGATTTACAATAAAACTAATTTTAACACTGATAGTTCTTTTATCAAAATCAACAAGTTAAAACTTCTACCAGCAATTAATGTTTAATTTTTGAGAGTATATCTAGTCAATAATCTTAATTGGCATAAGCAAATTGACTATCTTGTTGTCAGAAGCCACATTCCTATGAGTATTGTTGCATGTTTAAGAAAAACGTAGTGGGGTGCCGACCCACTACTGCTTACAAGATTTTATAAAGGGATGCTCAGACCTATCCTGAAATACTCTGGCTCTTTAATATCTCCTAGTCCTTAATACAACTTCAAAAAAATTGAAATAGTCCAAAACAAAGCTTTAAAACTAGTTTTAGGATACAGGAAAAGCACTCAAACTAACATTATTCTTTCAGAATCTAAGACACCTCATCTAACCATTAGATTCAAGTACCTTGCCTACACTTTTCTTCTAAAATGTCTCTCGTGGGAAAACAACTTTATCGTCAAGAACTTAGACGAACTTTTACAATGATCTAACGACCCAACCCTCGACTTTCACTACAAAAAAATCTCTTCTACTAGAATGCTCCGAAAATTGATGGTTTTCGCAAATAATTTCTTCCAACAAAAATCACTTTCAAATTTTTACAGACTCCCTCAGTGCTCTAACTTTCTTAAACAACATATCTGGACTTAAAGCTGAATCTCAACTTATAGTTCAGATAAAAAGCTCATATCATCAGCTACTTCTCTGAAGAAAGACTTCAAATTGAACTGGATACCTTTCCTTTTAGGAATGCGAGGCAATGATGAAGCTGATCTTTTGGCAAAAAATGCTGCACGCAATGATACACTTAAAAATCTGTCAATTCCATTTACTGACCTCATACCTAAAATTCAAAATAGTTACCTGATCAAGAACAATCTGCTTTTTTCAAAATCATTTGAACTTAAAGCAAACGAATTCTTTTAATTGTATCACAAAAATAAGAAAAAACCTTGGTTTTATGACCTTGGCCTCTCAAGAAAAGCTATTGTAACTTTTTATAGAATAAGAAGTGGCCATACATCACTTAACTGTGTTCTCTCTAGATTTAATATTGTTAAGGTAGTTTATCCCAAAATCACTTTAATTACAATCTTCTTCAAACTTTGCATATCACTTTATTAGAGTGTAATGCATAAATGTTAAAAATTTTATTACGACTGTCTGTACCGTTTTCGAGATATGAAGCTGCAAAGTTGGACTCTTTAACACGGTAAGCATAGGTGAGCTGCGCGAAAAATGAACGTTTTGAATTATTAAACAAAAAGTATATTTAAAACTCTTATGAAAAATTATAAGCATGAAGTAAAATATATGCCGAATCTACTATATTTCACTTAGAGATGCCATCTGTACAGTTTTTTAATAAATCAAATTGAAAGTTAGCAATTTTCCAAATGAAGCAGACAATAAATTGCGGGTTATCTGATATGTGGCAGCAAAGCGTATTGCAGTCGTTTTTTGTGAAATTGTGTCTTGTAATTAGTTGTTACACCGAGTGTGAGGAAAAGGGGTTAGGTTAATGAAATTTTTTTTTTTTTTTTTTTTTTTTTTTAATAAACTAAACAAAAATCAAACAACATTTTTATTGATTAAAACTTGTAGACTAGCAAAAATTTTACTTAAAGTTTACGTAAAGTATTGCTGCGACGTAGCCAGATTTTTTTAACCACGAGTGTGTGAGTGTGTGAGTGTACATAGATATGTGGAATTCAATATGTGTATGCCAGTGGTGAACAACTTCTTCTTAACTATCTATGTGTACTTATTCGTATAGCAAAAATAGTTATGGATGAGCTCCACTGGTGGGGATAAACTACCTTAATAATGATAGATGTGAGTACAACAAAAGTGATGACGATATTAAACACATTTTCTAGTAATGTAAGCTTTTTGAAAAACCAAGAACAGACATAATAAAAAACTTGAGAAAATTTGTAAAATACGTATTTTTCTCTATCATTTAATTACTGTTAAACACAAATCACTATATTATCACTATTGTGTCTAACCATACATGTCAATTAAAAAAAAAAATCTATTATATAAATCAATTACTTATATTTTATTGACCTCCACAGCTGAATGTAGGAAAAAAAAAAAAGGAAAAAAATGAAACATAACAAACGCATGTTTAATAATCTTTATCGTGCTTCATATCCATTGTAAGCGTATATTAAGATTGTAACATATGCTGCATGATTCTTAATCATTTTTGCATGTACATGGCTATACAACATAAATTTGGTGCCAATAAATAAAACCACTACAGATGCCATTGTTTCTCGATTTCTAATAAAAATACAGTCAGAAACATACGTATTTTATTTAAGTAACCGTAAACCAATACTTTTTATTGTAGAATGTAAATGTTTTTTATATTTAAATAATTATTTGAAATATA